AAACACTTCATCTACTCGACTCAGGACACCACTCTGCCTGGGCTTCCTCCTGCCTCACCGGCTGCTCCTACTGTGTGTGTCCCTGGTGCCTCCTCGTCTCCCTGACCTCTAAAATCCAAGTGCCCTGGACTCAGGCCACAGTCCTCTCTTCTTCTCTCTTTATACTCACACTCGGGCTCTTGGTGATCTCATCTGGGCTCCCGGGCTTTAAACCATTTCTAGGCTGAAAACTCCCAAATTTCTATCTCCAGCCCAGACTTCTCCCTTGAGCTCCAGGCTCATAAATTCAGCTGCTTACCTGACACCTTTACTTGAATGGCTAATAGACATCTGAAATATAACATAAACAGAGTCACGCTCCTGAACTAGCTCCTGAGATCCCCCTCCTCAAGTATGGTCTTCCATACTTTGGCAAATAGCAACTCCATCGTTTGGCTCAGGCCAAAAACCTTGGCACCCTCTAGTCTGTCAGTAAGTCCTATGCCTTCTACCTTCAGGATATTTTTAGAACATGATATTTTTTCACTGTCTCAACTGCCCCCTATCTCCTGCTTGGACCCTTGTCCCCGTCGGTGTCTTTTCTTAACCCAGCAGCCAAACTGATCCTTTTAAAGTCACTGCTCAGAACACTCCTAGCCTCTTCTTTTCATCTATAGTGATTTCCCATCCCACCCTAATTGAAAGTCACACTGCTTATAGGAGCCTACAGAGCCCCACATTATCTGGTACCACATTACCTCATAGACTTTCTTTTTTACTACTTTTGCCTTGTTTCCTCTACTCCAGCCACAATGACCTCCTTGCTGCTCCTTCAACATAACAAAGCCTAATCTTGCCTCAGGACCTTTGAACTTTCTGTCCACTTAGTTGGAAGCTTTTTCCTCCAGGTATCAGTGTGACTCATTGCCTAACCTCCTTTAGGTCTTCAGGCGGGTGTCATTTTCTCAGTAAGACCTTTCCCAACTACCCTACTTTGAAAATTGCCAAATGCCTATCATCCTTCACTGTTTTATTTTTCTCCATAGCACTGATCACCACATACCATATATATTTTGCTGATTTATTTCATCTTATTTAATTGGTTTACTATCGATCTCTTCCCCACTAAAATCCCTCCTACACCCCCCCAGGATCTTGAGGTATACATGACGCATAGTAGGTGCTCAATAAACATACTTGAAAGATTGACAGAATGAACTCTTGCTCTTCCTTGGTAGTTGTCGGAGGAATCTGTTCATTTAATTGAGGCCTGAACGACCACAAGTTTATTGCCTATTGTTTGTATTTGAAAACATGGCCTTATTGGTAGTACATGGGAGATGTTTGAGGAGCTCTTTTCACTTACTCCCTCAGAGCTTGTGCCCTGTCCATCATTCGCTTAGCCTTGCCAGAAGAATTGGAGTTATCTACTTGCCATCTTAGTTCTGAAAGGCTGTTAGCTCCTAGTCTGTATCTCACATAGTGATCACCCCCTCCTCACTTCACCAGCTTGTCTGCTATCCAAGCTTATATTGAGAGTCCAGAGTATGTGAGAGCAGCTTTTGATACCACATTGCCATAGAACAATAAGACAGTAGTAGCACTCCCCAGGCCATGTCTCTTCTACAGATGTTTCAGAACTTCAAAGTCTGTGCTGTTCGTGGAGGTGAAAGTGTCCTCCTGCTCTGTCCCCAGAGATCACGGGGCTCTGGAGCTGATGGGTTTTGTTTTGATTAGAATTCCAGCTCTGACACTTACCCAGCTGTGTGACCTTGGAAAGGCTTCTTGAAATCTGAGACTGGGTCTGAAATGTCACCCTTCGGCACACATTGCCTCCCTTTGCCTTTTCTACTCCTTTGCCCCTTTTCTCTTCCTGTCCTCCACCCAGAGAAGAGATGGATTGCTGGGTGTTCAAACCTTAAAGACAGGGATTTCCACGTGGACATTGTCCCATGCTTTAAAATTGTATTCTGAGTTAATCTTGCACATTTCAGTATGATCTTTCCCCCCTTAATTGTTATTGATGAAGCCACCTTCCCTTCATGACTGTGTACTGAGAAAGCCTCAAATCCACGCCGTATAACCATTGCAAAGTAAGACGATATGTCTTAGATGTAAGATTAAAGATGACTGCATCAGAAAACACGTGGAAAGGGTATTAGCGCTCTCACAGTCCCTCTCCAGATGCCATTCTTTTTCAAAGAAATAACAAGAATCCCAGAAAAAGATGTATATCATTTTCACACTTCTTCTTTTCAGTGACTAGAAGTAAAAATGAATAATAATAGGAAAAGAGCATGAATCTAAATGATGTATTTACATCTTCCTCTGTCTCTTCGTCCGTTGTGAGTTGAGCTGGTAAACCTCAGAGCCGTGGGGCTAGGGGCAAGATACTGACTAGGACCTTCTTCCCTCTTGTAAGGAGTTACTAGTTGCTGTCACCCTTCCATGTCTACCCTAGGGGAGGAGGACACATCCAGGGGTGCTTTGTCATTAATGTCCCTGTTCTCCTTCCATCTGTGTGTCACCTTGACCTTTCAGTCTTAAAACACATACAGCTCATCATAGTTGACTCTACATTTACGTATTCATACTCCTTAAGCCTTGGATTTGTTGTAATTTGTATTAATTAATACATCATTGTTGTATACATTATCCTCAATCCAGCTTTTCGTGATACCATGTTTGATTCCGCGTCTTTAGGAGGATAGGAGAAACTGGCTTGCTTTAGGGATCGCGGGAAGCCAGAGGAAAAGCTGGTTGCTCAAAGAGGGGGGCATACATACATATTCCTGTGGCTAAAACTATCATCATCGTAGACTTGTAATTTATAGCACTTCCTGTTTACAGGTACTGTGAGGGCTTCACCGTGTGACTGGAATAATGCCAACAGCCAACTCAAACAGACAGAGGTTCTGGTTCTTGCTGAGGGAAAAGTACAGAGCTAGGGAGTGAGACATCCAAACCTGTCCTGCTCCCTTTTGTGAGATGAAAACCCTCATGAATGAGAACGCTGATGTTAATATATATCTATCCAGATTAGAATTTGGGTGGCTGTTGCTTCATTAGTTTCATTTATAGAAGATTCTGCAGCCTTTCCTTGGAGTGTTAGACTATAAAGTATGGGGGTGGGAGTGAGTGGGAGATTTGGATTTAAGATGAGAAATTGGAATGTGTCTTTTTGGATGTTCCTCACTCTACTGCTTCTATTAGTTGTGGGCAGGAATCTGTAACTGTTAGCCTCATTTTTTACCTTTAATAAAATGGTGCTTCCTATTTATCTGCTTATTAGTACAAGGCAGAGATTTTGTATAATTTTCAGGTTCAAGATACTTAGGAGATTTATGACATTTAGTGATTTTGCTCCAAATTGTTAACTTTATATTCAGAGCATTAATATTGAACATTCCCTTAGATCTGTGGTTATACCAGAATATTCTCATGCCTCGATGTATTATTAGAAAGATAGAGATCTATGGGGTACTTCTAAAGGTTGGATGTTTTGTTTTTTAGTATGTTCTAGGTGTTTTTTTTTTGAGGAAATTTTTAATTATTGTTTCTCTAAGGTCAAATTTAATAGTTTTCTGTGTCTCATGCTTGTGAAAGGCTGAGAGGAAAACATGACGTGAAGTAGTAGCATTTCTCTGGGCTAAGAGTGAACCAAAGGAACATAAGTCCTTAACTGTGGTAAAACAATTCAAACCTGTAGTAACATATTTTCTATTCTCTAAAAGTTTTTACATGAAGAGATACAGATAATCTCTCTAATATCCTTATCTATATCTATATGTGTATGTCTGTGTAGACATACATACTTATTTGTAAATGTAAATAAACATGTTATATATATCTACATGTAGACAGCCTCTATATGTATTTCTATATACACATACATACATGAAACAACTAAAATGAAATTTAATGTGTAATCACAGACTTTTTGAATGTGGACTAGTACTAGAGAGAGAGCAAAAGAGAAAACTCATTCAACAAATATTGATTGAGTACCAGGTACTCACTGTTGCAGTCACTGAGGATAGAACAGTGAGCCCAACAGACATGGTCCCTGTTGTTGTGGAGCTTATATTTTATGTTGGAAGAAAGAAAGATAATAAATAAACAATGAAATACATGTGACAGTTGCAGATGTGATGAATGCGAGGAGAAAATAAAACATGGTTTAGGGATTGGGAAAGTTCAAATGGCATGGTCAGAGAAGATAAAATTTGACCTGAAGCTTAAATGGCAGGAAGGAATTGGGGAAGTTAAAATCTCAGGGGGACACATTCCAGGCAGAAGGAGGACTCTGGCAAAGCTGCGAGGTTAGGATGAGCTCTGTACATAAAAGGACCAGAAGGAAGGCCCATGTGGCCAGAGGAATGGTAGTAGTGTGTGAAGCTAGAGATGTGGCTAGAATCGTGATCAGATAGGGCCCTGTAGGCTCTATCAGGGGTTTGAGTTTCATTTCAAGTGAGATGGGGTGCCATTTTAAGCAACATTTAAAAAACTTTTAAAAGAAGTTTTATTCTTGGGGCACCTGGGTGGCTCAGTCATTAAGCATCTGCCTTCGGCTCAGGTCACGATCCTAGGGCGCTGGGATCGAGTCCCGCATCAGGCTCCCTGTTCCGCGGGAAGCCTGCTTCTCCTTCTCCCACTCCCCCTGCTTGTGTTCCCTCTCGCTCTCGCTCTCTCTCTGTCAAATAAATAAATAAAAAATCTTAAAAAAATAAAAAAGAAGTTTTATTCTTGTTGCAGTGGCAATACAGGCAGAGAAGAATACAAGCAGAGAGACCAGTAGGAGTTAAAATGGCTCCAAGTAGAAGTGATGGGAACTGGGCCTTCAGTACTACTGGTGGGAAAAGAGAGCTATGATCAGATTCAGGATATATCCAGAATTTGCCATTGGGGTGGACATAGTTTGTGGAGGAGAAAAATTTTGGGTTTAAGCAAGTAGATACAGGATGGTGAGGAGGACCATGGGAAGAGCAGATATAAAGGATGGAAATCAATACTTTTGTTCTGGTCATGTTAATCTTCACACGCACATGCTTCTGACACGTACTGGCAAACTGTTCCAGTGCCCCCATCTTTAAAAGAGGGGGTTGGTAATTGTACCTGTGCTATATGGTTGCTGTGAAAATTAAATGAATTAATACTGCTGAAGCACGTAAAACAGCATCGGACTCCCCTTAAGTTCTCAGTTAATGTTAACTGTTGCTGCAGCTACTGTTGTTAATATTATTATGATCGAAATGGAATATATTCAAGGGAGATGTTGAAGAGGCAATAGGATATGTCAGTCTGTAGCTCAGAACCGAAGTAAGGACTGGAGATGAACTCTGATAGTTATCAGTATACAGGTAGATATTTAAAACCATGGGACTAGATGAGATTGCCTCTGGAGAAAGGAGAGAAGGGGAGGGGTGAGGACTGAGGAATGGGGGGCGGCCAACATTTAGAGGTCAGGAGAGGAGGCAGAGTCAGCAAAGACCTGAGAAGATGCTGTCAGGAGACAGGAGAGAAACCCAAAGGGTATGGATGGCACCATGGAAGCCAAGTAGAGGAAGCGTTAAAAGGCAAAAGTTGACTATTATCAAATGATGCTAAAAATAAAGTAAGAGTAAAAAGGAGGACATACCTACCTGATCATTGGATTTGTCAAAGGGTAAAGTGATGGCAACCTTGACAAGAGCCATTTCAGTAGAGTGGTGGGAATGAAATCCCTATTGGAGTGGGCAGAGAGAACGGGGAGGTCAGAAATGGGGCAGTAACTAGAAAGGAATAGAGGTAGGAAGATGTCTTGTGTTTGTCTGTTACCTAGAATGATTCAGCAGAGAAAGAGAATTTTATGATAAAAGAAGCAAAGGGAATAATTGTGGAGAACAAAGTCCTTGAGTACACAAAGAAAGGATATGATCCAGGAGAGACATTGAAGGGGAACAGAGACACTTCTTCCACTGTAAATGGAAGCAAGGAAGAATATGGACACAGCCCATAGGTAAGGTGGTGGATTTGAAGATGGAATGGTGCTAATTTTTGTTTCATTGCATACCTTTCAAAATGAAGTATAAGGTGCAGTAGTTAGTAAGAAAGGAGGAAGAAACCTTGAAGTATTCACAATGAGTTGAGGATCTGGACAAATGCTCTAGGCAACAAAAATTGATTTAAAAAAAATTCAAAGCTACAGTCTGAACAGTAAGGAAATAATAAGGAAGGGATAGTCCTCATCTAACAAAGATGATCTGGTATCATGTATTACCCCAGATAAAACAGAATTATTAAACTCCTAACTTACCTCCGTTTTTCTTCAGTAAGGAGTTTGGCCTCAAAAAGGAAAGGGTAAAACAAAAACATGGTTGAGAAGAAATTGAAGCCCAGTGTGGGTAAGAGAGTCAATGAAAGAATAAAGAATTATTTGGAGCTTTGGATTATTCTAGTCTTTAGACTGTGCTAAATTACATCTCAGGGGACTCTGAGAACTTTCAGATTGATTTTGGATTTTTTGTTCACCACAATTTCTAGACAGAAGACTAATACTCTAGGTGAGCTTTCCCCCCAAAAGAGAGATTCTATATATACAATAACAATAGGCCTGATTTTTTTTATCCCTGGTAAAATTATAGAACTAGTGATTAGCCTGATGATTTATAAGTATTTAAGGAAAAATGCATAGTTCTAGTAACCAATTTGAGGTGTCTAAAAATAAGTCATTTCCAAATAAATGGATTTTCTTTTAGAGTTTTATTGGAAAACCAGGACAATGCTATAGACACAGTATATCTTGATTTTAGCAAAGTGTTTGATGTGGTTTCTCATGACATTTTTAAAAATAAGGACGAGTTAACATTTAAGTATCTATATGTGCAAGGCACTTGGTAGGATGGTGAAATTATATAGAATGTTGGTTCTTAAATCAGCCACCCCCATAGTGGAATATCACAGGATTCTGTTCCTGGCTGTCTTCACCAGTGGTCTTCAGAAATCTAGATGAAAATATAATGGGCGCATGGAGAGAACTAATGCAGTAGATGACATAGCCAAATGAATAAATCATCTCAATGACTGGAGAAGCTGTGTTATTTAACAGTCATTCAGGAGCCATTCATTAGTTCATTTATTGGTATTTATTGAGAGCTTTGTATCAGATACTGTTCTTGGTGTTGGGAATATGTGGGAAAACAAAGAGCAATGAGTCATGGTCCCTGCCTTCAAGGGCCATATCATATGCTAAAAGAATGCATTAATAGAGCAGTTTTCAACCTAGAGGAGGGTACAAAGGTCTTTTAGGGTGTAAGGAGGGGAGTGGTCACTTCAGCTAGGGTGCTGCTCCATACCGAGTCACCCAACCCCTGCTGAAGAGTCACCACTTCAATCTGCTCTGCACCTTTTGCAAAGTCCTCTGTGTGGTACCTCTTGATGTTTAAATGTCAGGGATGTATCTCATTAATCTTTGTGGCCCCATCTTCTCTTCCCCACCCTCACTCCCACCACCCTTGACAAAGCACCCCTCCCAGAACCTGTAACCTTGGGAGTAGCTGTTCTTTGTTCCCCATACCTTTGAAAGGACCTACTTACCTCTTTTTATGCAAATACAGAAAAGTACCTTCACTTATGCAAATGTTGAACATTAACACTTCCTAGTGCCCAGGAGCAATGTTCCCTCAAACATTACACTGTTCTGAAGTAACAAACTATGAAGGTTAAGTGTACAGGAACAGTTTAATCTTGTAATCAAATGAAACTTACTCTGGTTAACGCAAAACACGTAATAACGTACCTTATCGTTATTGTGCTGCGTTGTGATTAGTCAAGTAGAGAGTGGTTGACTTAAGAGAATACAATTAGCATTTCTTTTATAGTGAAAGTAGATCTATGTGCTGTTTTCTCTTCCTTTTGTTAGTTCTCCGTCACCTATAATTATCTTTACTGTTGCCAGTTTTTCCTGAGACCAGTATAATCTAATTATTTCTGTGAACTCATAAACACACACCCAAATACATTGACACACAGGTTAGAAAAATAAAACTCTAGTCCTTCTAGCTGCTGGGGTTCCCTCTTCTCCCTTCTAGGGAGGTGTATTTTCTGCGCTTGGTTAACTCGTGCAGGAATGGCTGCTCTTCCTCTCCTGGTGTTGACTTTTCTCAACTCCAGCTGTACACTGGACTCATTTGGGGAGGTTTTATAAAACCACCATACCTAGATCCCCCCTCACTGAGAGTTTGACTTAATTGGGCTGGGGTAAGTTCACCATCAGTATTTTTTAAGCACCTCAGGTAATTCTCATATGCAACTAGGGCTGAGCATTCATTACACAGAAAAGGATGGAGGTTCAATGGTTCCTTGGGATGTCCCAGGAGGATCAGTGGAGCATCATGGTGCCGCTGTAGAGAGCAGAGAGGTCATGCAGGCTGAACTGTAAGGGGCAGAACATAGAGAGACTTCCCTTGGAAATCTGGGGAGCCCAGGGATTGAAGGTTCGTTTCAGGCACGTAAGGGAGTATTGAAGGCTAGATGATTATGCATCCTAGGCCACACATTGTACCACATCAGACATTCTTCATTATTTCTTGCAACACCTAGGCAGCCCCTCGTCTCCTCTTGGAGGTCCATACTAATCCTCCTTTAAAAAAAAAAAAAGATTTATTTATTTGACAGAGGGAGACACAGTGAGAGGGGGAACACAAGCAGGGGGAGTGGGAGAGGGAGAAGCAGGCTTCCCGCAGAGCGGGGATCCCGATGCGGGGCTCGATCCCAGGACCCCGGGATCATGACCTGAGCCAAAGACAGCCACTTAACGATTGAGCCACTCAGGCGCCCCACTAATCCTCCTTTTTATATAAAGACACCAATAATTATATCAGATTAGCTTCTGGGCTGGGCTTGCCATTAAATACAGTGTGATAACAAAGGACCTGGAATTCCCTCTCCCTTTCCCTGCCTTGGATATAACTTTCAGTTAGAATCTCAGAGCTTAAAAAAAAAAAAAAAAAAAAAAAATTCTATAAGTTTGGGGGATAATAATTCATCCTTCTCATTTTTAGATGGGACATTGAAACCTATAGAAATTAAATTCACTGCCTAATGTCACACTAATGTTATAAGTATTAGAACTAAAATGAAAACCGTATTAGAACTAAAATGAAAACCCAGTTCTCTTGGCCACAACTTCATTGCCTTTTCTGTACATCATACTGTCCTCTAGTATATTCTTCTGAATATTTCCAGTAGAAAATGTCTCTATATTTTGAAGACAGAATAACTTTTGGAAACTTTTGTAACTCATTCAGATTCAAGCCTAGTAGGATGGGAAATTTACCTCATATTTGCGGTCCATAATTGACAGAAAATTTACAATGAACTGGAGCATTGTCATCGAGCCAATTGTTGGGCAATATTACTTTTTTCTGTATCACAGAATTCCTCAACTGCTTCAGAATTTCTTCCTTATAAACTGAATGGACAGTATGACCTTGTGGGATGAATTTTGAATGTACTATGCTATCTGCTTGCTGATGCCTGACGTTCCTTTAAAGGAGAAAAAGATTTTCATTCCACAATTAGAAGTAAAAGCCTTAAGATGCAAATGCCTCTGAGACATAACCCATTGAAACTCATTCACTCATTCACAAATCAATCAGTAATGGCCATCACGTACTTAGTTCCTCTCAGGTACCTAGCTCCTGGATGCTTTGCATACTCATCTCTAGTAATTCATACAAAAAATTGAATGTCAGTATTATTTCCATTTTACAGATAAGGAAGCCCAAACTTCTGAAAGGTCAATTAACTTGTCCAAGGTCATACAACCAGTAAGTGGAAGTGCTTAACATGGCATGGCCCCTGTCATGAACTAGTTAAAAATATGATCAATTAATTATTCATCTTGGATGAACAGGCCAACAGGTCTGATTTAAGTTTTTGATATTCCAAAAACATTCTTTTAACCCATTTTGTTATCTGATATATCATTTTTTTAATTTTATGATTTAACTGTAGAATCCCAATACTAAGACCTGATGGATTTCCAGTTTTGTTAACCATTTTGACTTTAATTGCCCAAATAAAAAATAAGGAGTTTATTTATAATGACCTGTTTGGCATTCGTGTATGTTCTTCCTTTGGTCCTCTTATGATCATTTATAAAGGAATTAATGGATTTTGATAAAGTCACTTAAACTCTTAAAGGGTATCAGGCATACTTCTGCCTAGAAAACCCTGGGTAAAATAATTAAATGGGCAAGTCATGACATCTGAGAGATGGAGTTTTCAAATGCAGATATTCTCAATTATCATCCTGAGTAAATTTTGTTTTTCATAGAAGATCTAGTCTTAGAATATTAAATCCCTGTTCAATAGGGGAGAGTGCCACATCCTTATTTCATTTAGAACATTGGTTCTTATCTCTATGAGGCCCAACATCCCTTTAAAAAAAAAATGTAATGACCCTTACTATCCTGAAATAAAATTTTAAAAAATATAGCCTACCCACAAAAGTCAATGTTTTAAAAAAATCAATATAACCCTAACTGGTTTTGTTTGGTTTTTCAGTGGAATTTTTTTTTAAGATTTTGTTTATTTATTTGAGATAGAATGAGAGTAAGCGAGAGAGAGAGAGAGAGAGAGAGAGAGAGAGAGATTGAGGGAAAGAGAATGAGCACAGGGGCGTGAGCACAGGGAGAGGGAGAAGCAGGCTCTCCACTGAGCAGGGAGCCTGATGCATGGCTCAATCCCAGGACCCTGAGCTGAAGGCAGACGCTTAACTGACTGAGCCACCCAGGTGCCCCTTTTTAGTGGAATTTAATAGGCTGATTCTCAAATTTATAAAGACATATAAAGGGTCAAAAATAAGCACATCACCTATGAAGGAGAAGAACAGGGTGGGAAGACTTGCTTCATTACCTACCTATCAAGACTTACCAGGAAGGGGCACACGTGGGGTTTCTGAGGGGCTGACAATGAAAAGGAGGTTTGAATAAATCAATATTATGCTCCAGCTGTGGCATAAAGAAGAAATGAAAGGAAAGGACTCTACCGGAAGGTTAAAAGTGCTCCTACAGATTTCCAGAATGCTTTCTAGAGTGACCCTACCACCACGGAAACCTCTGATTGAGAAAATTAACTTGATAGGAAGGTTTTACAATTGTATTTGATGGCCCTGGTTTTTTATTTAACCAGTTGAAGATTTGTCTCTTAATTAGTTGTTCTAAGTCTTATCTCATGCTGCATTCTGATCCTTAGTGGAAACTAAGTGATCATTGTTTCTGGTGGCGAATATGCATATTTTGGGTCAAGCTTTCTGTATTTTAATATTTGTAGTCCCTATTTCCATTTCTTCCTCCTTTGTTTTCTTTTGCTTTATTAATGTACCCTGTACTTGTCATAATGAACTTAATTTTTTATTCCACTGACAGTTTTCAGCTTTAGTCAAAACTTCTTGTGTCTGGCTAATGGCTCTGTTTGGTATCATCTCGAAATTCAGTGGAATATATTTCTCATGCATTTATCTGGTCATGGATGCAAATGTTAAACATATAGCATTCTTTTTTTTTTTTTTTAAAGATTTTATTTATTTATTTGAGAGAGAGAGAATGAGAGATAGCACGAGAGGGAAGAGAGTCAGAGGGAGAAGCAGACCCCCCGCCGAGCAGGGAGCCCGATGTGGGACTCGATCCCGGGACTCCAGGATCATGACCTGAGCCGAAGGCAGTCGCTTAACCGGCTGAGCCACCCAGGCGCCCAACATATAGCATTCTTAAAGCTGGCCATATTACCATGAACCACTTAAATCCTTTGCTCCATTTGCCTTATCCTGAGGCTGACATATAGAAGGGGAACATCTTTGAGCTGTCCCATCTGTAAGGCAGCCTAGGACATGTATAAATACAAAGGAAATTGTTAAAAGATAAGAATGAATTTTAAAACCAAAACATGTTCAGAAATAAAGGAAGAAAAGAATCTTGCCATCTAAATAATCTTGTCCTCTAAAATTGTAAATATTTTCTAAAACTCTTCTATTATTGGGCACCTGGGTAGCTCAGTCCTTAAGCATCTGCCTTCAGCTCGGGTCATGATCCCAGGGTCCTGGGATCGAGTCCCACATCGGGCTCCCTGCTCAGCGGGAAGCCTACTTCTCCCTCTGACCCTCTCCCCTGCTTGTGTTCCTGCTCTCCCTGTCTCTCTGTCAAATAAATAAATAAAAAATAAAAAAATAAAAAATAAAAAAATTCTTCTATTATTAAATACACTTTAAGACATCATAAAAGGAAATAAGAATCTTAAAAGTTTCATCCAGTCCTATCAATGTAACCTTCTCATTTTTTCCCATATTCAACAGGTATAAAATCTTTTTAAAAATTTTGTGCTTTTCTTGATGTAACATTATCCTTTAAACATTTTGCATGGAGCCATCATAGGTACCAATTTTAACAGTTGTGTAGTACCTTATCTTTTTGATAAAACCCCACCATTGACATCTGGATGATCAAGTCAGAAGTAATCACAAAGGGATTTTACTGAAAGACAAGTTTTCGTCACTGCTGATGTTGTCTCACAGATGCCAAATGAGTTTTTTATGTAGTAAGTGAGCAGAGTCCCCTGCCCAGCATAGAGTTGTGTTACCTCCATGTTGTTTTCTGCTGGTCCTTGTGTGCAGGGTAACTCTTTTTTTTTTTTTTTAAGATTTTATTTATTTGAGAGAGAGAGAGAGAATGAGAGAGAGCACGAGAGGGAAGAGGGTCAGAGGGAGAAGCAGACTCCCCGCTGAGCAGGGAGCCCGATGCGGGACTCGATCCCGGGACCCCAGGATCATGACCTGAGCCGAAGGCAGTTGCTTAACCAACTGAGCCACCCAGGCGCCCCAGGGTAACTCTTATAAACTGATTACCCTCACAGCTTCGTGTAAGTTCTTGGATGTTGTCACCATGGTAAGGATGCAGAATAGTGTTGATTTAATGACACAACCTATTAGTTTTATAAAAAGTTCTAGTCATCTATTCATAGGATAATTAAAAGCTTAAAAGGTTTAAATTTTTTTTTTTAGTTTTACTTATCTGTCAGGGAAGTGAGATGTTGTCAGGAGTTTTGCAGAATTGGTAGATTTATTTTTTATTTTTTTATTTTTTTAAAGATTTTATTTATTTGAGAGAGAGAGAATGAGAGATAGCACGAGAGGGAAGAGGGTCAGAGGGAGAAGCAGACTCCCTGCTGAGCAGGGAGCCCGATGTGGGACTCGATCCTGGGACTCCAGGATCATGACCTGAGCCGAAGGCAGTCGCTTAACCAACTGAGCCACCCAGGCGCCCAGAATTGGTAGATTTAGAAGTACCTTGGGATAAGTCAGTTTTGACTATTTCAGGTCTAGTGTAATTCTTTTCCATTCCATTTTTCGACATGTAGTTTGTAGAGCAGGAAGATTGTCTTGAGTACCATAAAAAGTACTAAAATGTTTTCTCTTAATACTTCTAAACCATTATTTTAGAGTTTTCCAAAATGAGCATTTTTCTTCTGGACTAGATCATACTCTGATTCTCTTAATTACCGCACATTTGAAATTTCAGATCAGAGTCTCATCGATACCATGTCCAAGCATTTCCAAAGTACAAGCATTACCTCTTTTTGGTTAACAGCTTTATTGAGATATAATTCGCATACCATTCAATTTACTATTTAAAGTGGACAATTCAGAAAAAAATAAAATAAAAAAGTGAACAATTCCATGTTTTAAGTATATTTTAAGAGTTGTGCAACGATCACCACAATTCAATTTTATAACATTTTCATTGCCCTCAAAAGGAACTCCATGCCCTGTACTTATCACTCTCCCCTTTCCCCATCCCCACCCGTACACCCACCCCAGCCTCAGGCAATCACTAATCTTTCTGTCCCTATAGATTTGCCTACTCTGAATAGTTCATGTAAATGGAATCATAAAATATGTGGTATTTTGTGACTGACTTCTTTCACTTGGCGTAATGTTTTCAAGGTTCATCCGCGTTATAGCATGATGCATGTACTGATAAGTACTTCATTCCTTTTTATGGCCAAAAAATATTCCATTGTATAGATATGCCACATTTTGTTTAGACATTCATCATTGGAAAGTAGGATTCTTCAAGAACTTGAAATCCCTGACCCTAGAGGTAATGGGGCTTACTTGGTATGGGAATGGATAAGGGAAGTTTTGCTGCCCATAACTAACCTCCAGAAAGAATAATCAGCAAATGAAAAGGATGTCCTGACCCTTTTCTGTAGACCTTCTTGGGAATAGAAATCACAAGCGAAAATTAAATCTACTCCTGACGTCCCATAACCAGAATCCCCCTTGGGCCATCAGGATGGGAGAGCGAGAACATGGGGCTCTATCGCATTGGAACTCAGCCAGGTATTAAGTAAAGAGATAGGATTGCCACCTAAGAAGATTATGAAATGCATACTTAGGGTAAGCTAGCAGTATTCCTAAATGTAAATTCCATGCTTGAAATTAATCTCACTAATTTTCCTCACATGCAAACACATAGCTATTTTATAAGAATGAGCTTAGTGATCTTTGGCCCACCTTGCTTAAGAACATTGCATAATGTTCATAACCTCTAGCCCACGCATTCTCATCAAGAGGGGATATTGCCCACAGAGGTGAAAATTGGCTCTCAGGGTCAAAAAGATCTTATTCTTTTATGTATAAAGCATATACACACACACACACACACACACACACACACACAGTACATAAATAGTTATGCTACTAAAATTTCATTGGGAGAGAGAGTAATTAGAAAAAAAAAAATCTAAAAAGTCTCCTTAGTAGGGAATGAAAAACAATGAAATGTTTGAAAAACATCATGAGAAATCTGCCGTAAGGAGGAAAATCATTATTCTAGAGGAACCTGGGAAATTTCAGGCTCCATTTGGGGATTTTCCTGAGAATTTCATGTAGTAGCCAGGAAACTTTAGCTCACTCAAACGTTACCTTACTGCCCTCATATACCCATACGCTCTCTTCCTCCTACCTCCTTTCCTCACCCCTGTCTTTTCACAGGTGGGGTAGGAGGTGTTGGGAGTGGTAGAGCTGGAGGGGGGAAAAGGACCAGAATACACTTGGGTGTCCAGACCGATCTGTAAATGGACAGTCTTATATACAATTAGGCCAATTTCTGCATCTGGACCATAACACATTTACATGATAGTTGTGCAACCTTAAACATATTTCTCTCTATACTTGGAGTCAGAAAGAGTGATTTTGTGTAATTTATTTCCCTTGGAAGGCTCATCTCATATCAACACTTTTGTTTCATCAAGATCCTTTATATTTTTCCCTTAAAATTTCAATGCAGTTAAATCTGACTCTTTATGGGCCATAAGCAAAGACATAAATGATAATAGAAAAAAACATTCTTCAATTACAGCAGGCAAGAATTCTAGGATACATTGTTCAGCTGCTTTCTTTTCCCATAGTAGAAAGCTGATAAATGACTTTTAAAAGGTTTTCCATTTTTTTTCCATCTTCCCTTTGGGAAAAAAGTAAGCTGTGATGCTCAGTTATGGGAAACAAATGTTACTCATACTATGGGAAAATGAAAAAGTCAACTAAAATTCATACTCATATACTTATTTGTTTATTCAACAAATGTTTGAATACTGGTTATTTGTCAATAGTTTATTAGGTACTGGGGCACAGAGGTGAAGACAAAGTCTCACCTTCAAAGAGATTACATTCTAGGCAGAGGAAATGGATGAATAGCAGTCAACCCTTACATCTCAGTGAGAGACATTCAACAGTAGAGAATGTCCCAGGCGGTCTAAGAGTTGACAGACCACCTAACTCAGGCAGGTGGGGCTAACTCAAGCTCTACCTCTTAGGAACTGCCCTTACAGATAAGTGAGGTGATTGAGCAGAATCTGGGTGTTGCACACAGAGCCACAGGGGATGAGAGAACATAGCTCCCAAGTCTTGGACAGACGAGTTATTTGGTCCCCTTTCTAGAAGTATTGTTTAATAGTACTTTAGAGATGCTGAGGGCTGTAGAGGAAAAGGGTTGAGTGAGTCTTCTGGTGACTGGGTCCCAGATTGCAGAGCCTTTCCAATAGTGCTCTGTAGTTAAAGGGGTGGGTCCTTCTTAGAAGGCAATTCAACATCTATTTGTGCCACTCAAGAATATCCCTGGGGGCTTTCACCCGTCCCCACCCTTCCCACATCCCAGTGTTTTCTTCCAACCTCATACAGTGCTGGGTACTTTGGAATTCTGTTAAGTGTAGTTTTCTTCCATCTCTTTATGGTTCTAGTAATGTTTAGCCCTCACTAGTATTTTAATGCTCCGTATAGCTAGTCTCTGTTCTGATAGGGATTCATAGGCTCTCCTGGGATATTTGAACTTGGTCCTGAAGTCATTGAAAAACTATTTGAAGAAATATGATCAAGGAAGAGATGCTTTTTTTTTTTTTTTTTGAGGACTCCTTTAGCAGGCAACAAGTATCAATGGATAGGAATGAATTTGGATGAGGGTACCAAACTAAAAAAAGAAAAGCCAGTAGGAAATTATGATCATAATGTGACAAAATTGGATGAGATTGTGGTAATGGGGATAAAGAAGAAGAATTGGATCTGAAAGTAATTTAGATGATAAATCAATACTACTTAGAGAGTAATTGACTAGAAATAGAAGGTAACTCTCCAGCTTCTGCCTTGGGTGCTGGATTAGTGTCCTATTGTTGCTATAACAAACTACCACAAACTTAGTGTCTCAAAAACAGCACAAATTTATTGTTTTACAGTTCTGGAAGTCAGAACTGAAATGGATCTCACTGGGCTAAAATCATGGTTTTACCAGTCTTATGTTTCCTTCTGGAGCCTCTGAGGAGAAGCCTTGTGTGTGTGTTTCCAGATTCTTAAGGCTGCCCTGCCCATATTCCTTGATTCGTGGTCTCCTTCCGATTCGTGGTCTCCTTCCATCTTCAAAGCTAGAAATGGCTGGTTGATTCTTTCTCATATCACATCCCTCTGACTTTGGATCTCTGTCTTTCTCTTCCACGTTTAAAGACCTTGGTGATTATATTTGTCCCACCCAGATAATGCAGAGTAATTTCCCCATCAGCTGATTAGCAACCTTAATTCCTCTTTGCCAGTAGCCTAGTCTGTTCACAGGTTTTGGGGATTAGGACATAGACATCTTTGGGAGGAGGGCTACCTACCTGTTCTGCCTGCCATAAATGCATATGTAGATAGTGGTGCCATTGCTGTGTTGGAAAAGGAAAAAGTTTGTGTGGTGGGAGCATTGAGTTGATGATTTCTCTCTTAGATATTTGGAGGTTAAAGTCCCCCATGGAACCTTCCAGGGGAAATGTCTAGTAGGCAATTGGAAGTGTGGGTCTGGAGCTTAGAAATGATTAATTTGGGTGTTCTTAGTTTAAGAATAGTAGCTGAGGGCGCCTGGGTGGCTCAGTTGGTTAAGCGACTGCCTTCGGCTCAGGTCATGATCCCGGAGTGCTGGGATCGAGTCCCGCATCAGACTCCCTGCTCAGAGAGGAGCCTGCTTCTCCCTCTGACCCTCCCCCCCCTCTCATGTACTCTCTCTCTCATTCTCACTCTCTCAAATAAATAAATAAATCTTAAAAAAAATATAGTAG